GACACTTCTTGGGTCTTCTGAAAAGTCTTCTAAAATATACTTGGATGATTTTGACACATGTTATTCACTGAGATTCAAAATCTCAAGGCCTAATGGGGATTTGGATACCAGCTTCTTAATGTCTTACTTTTAAGTGAACAGTTTACAACATTTCCACATCCATTTCCATCATTTGGTAGTGTCCAAAACCCTGCAAAGTAAGAAGGGGAAAGAATTATTACTGTGAGCCACATTGTCAGAAGGAGGAAACTGAGATTTTGAGTGACTGCCCCAAGACCGTGAAGTCAGGAATGAGGCTGGAACAAGGACTGCAACTCTTCCCCCAGTGCGCTGCACTGTACGCTCTTTACTCACCATTTATTTTGGGAGGTCTTGCTGTGTGTCAGTGCCACTCATTCACACTGGATGAATCTTAGCCATATGGTTAGTTCACTTGTTATTTCAAATAACATAGTGGTTGCATGCACAGATTTTGGCATCAGATAGTTCTAGATTTGCATTGTTCCTCTAACAGTTACTAGCTTGCAACCTTGGTGTAATCTCTGAGCCCCAGTGCCCTGGTCTTTAACATGCGCTTATGCATAGTAACTGCTTCATGGAGTTGTTGGGAGGATAGTGCATCCAGCAAATACTCTGTAAATTAGCTGGATTATGAAGCAAAAATATCTGGTATCTTTTCCTCTGAAAAGATATTTACCTAATGTCAGTTTTTCCTTCCTCTTTTTTTCTGCTAGGTAAAAAGACTATTGTCAGCCTTAAAATTCTATGTGTACTAATAATATTCAAGTTAAAGAATGCCTTGGACCCTAGCTTCCTTCCAGCTCTGAAATCCTAGGATTCTAACTCTGTAATACATTATGATATATAAAATGGGAGATAAGCACCCTACTGACCTACCTCGGAGATATTGCGAGTTTGATTCCAGACCACTGCAGTCAAGTGAATATTGCAATAAAACGAGTCACATGAATTTTTTTGGTTTCCCAATGCATATAAGAGTTATGTTTACACCATGCTGTAGTCTATTAAGTGTACAATAGCTTTATGTCTATAAAACAATGTACATACTTTAATTAAAGAATTACCTTATTGCTAAAAAATGCTAACCATCTTCTGAACCTTCAGCAAGTCATCATCTTTTTGCAATAGTAACATCAAAGATCACTGATCACAGATCACCATAACAAATATAATGATAATGAAAAAATTTGAAATATTGTGAGAATTACTAAAATATGACACACAGACATGAAATAGCAAATGCTGTTGGAAAAATGGTGCCAATAGACTTGCCCAATGCAAGGCTGCCACATACCTTCAGTTTGTAAAAAACACAGGTTTTGTGAGACACAGTAAAGTGACATGCAATAAACCGAGGTCTGCCTATATATCATAACATACTGCAGATGTCAAGGTTGGCTCTGAACAGGAACTGACTTGAGCTGATTTAAGTTAAACATTTTTATTGAAAGGATGTGGAGATAGCTCATAGAATAGAGGGAAAAGCTGAGCAAACAGACTGTAAAAAGAACAGAAGCCAGGGCAGTCTCTTCAGGCCACCCTGTCAGGATCGTCTGCTTCTGCTCCAATCATTTTCTGTCTCTGTCTCTTGCCTCTAAGATTCAAATCGCCATTGAGAAGAGAATCTGATTGATTGAACTTGGGTCATGTGACCAGCCTTTGGTCAGAAGAGGCAGAGCGCCTAGATTGACGGTTCCATCACAATAGCCTGAAGTGGGAAAGGGTTGATTCCCTAAGTGAATCAAGGGAAATGTATGTACTGAGTAGATACCAAGAGAAAGGGGAGGACAATGCTGCTCACTATAAAAATGCAGAATATAATTCCATCTGTATGACATTCTAGAAAAGGCAAAACTTGGTGATTACAAAGGTTTAGGAGTGGGGGAGGGTTTGACTACAAAAGAGTGACATGAAGGAGGTTTCTGGGGAGGATGGAACTGTTCTGTCTGTGTTAAAATCCACTGAACTGTACTCTAAATCAGAGTACAAAACAAATTTTCTAGAACAAAAAATTTTGCTACATGTAATTAAAAATAATAAAATAGAAATGCAGAGTACAAATTTGTTATGAAGTTGCTTTAAATTTCTAACTCCTTTACTTCTTAAGCTGCTGATTTTTAAAGTGTCCAGAGGTTTCATGTATTAACCATTTTTTCCTTTTTTGGAAACAGTATTTAGAACTTCGATTTAACAAATATGTTCGTCTCTGTGGAACATTCCTCTTCATTGTTCTAACAGTAAGTAGCTTTCAGTTCAATTATTTTATCTTTTTTCATCTAAAATGTTTTTAAACAAGGCATCTGGGCCAAGCTTATTTGGTAAATACATGAAAGATATAAAAAGAGATATTGAAAATAGGAGGAAACAAAAAAGGAAAAACGCTTGTCACTACGTAGCATTAATCCTTAAGATCATTAAACACTGTTTCAGCAAATTAATTACTTCCCAGGAAAACAGTGGTTTAAGTGAACACTGAATATTTTACTGATCAAGCAACAGTTTGTTGCTTTAGGAAAATATGCTTTTCCCTATTGCACCTCCCTCTGTCCCCACCAAAGCAACCATAAGGGCATTACTGAGATGACAGAGATATTTGAAGGAACTATAGTAGCTGATAGTAGGAATTGTAATAGAGGGAAAGCAATTTGTATGTTTCATAGTATTTTTGCAACTTGTTGAGGAATAGGTTTGAAAAAATTAATTGAAATAGGAAGACATTAGGAAATAATTTTCTTTGTTTGAAAGCATACTTAAAAAAATGAATCTGTGCTGTCTTTAAAAAAATTGTTCCATAAGACTCAATTGAAGCAGTTGCTGAGTGTACAACAACAGAACCAAGCACTCTGGAGGAGTTTTTAAAGCCAAGTATATAATCCAGTGATTCAAGAATATGCAAGTATACATTCACTGTTTGGCACAAATGGAAAGCAAAGATTTGCCAAGCAATCAGTGACAAAGACTGCTTCCCACTCTTCAGCCAGACTGCTGGAAGCTTGGCACGATCATTGTCACGTGATTGATATCTGACATTTGGCAGCTAAGTGCTTTAGGTATGAGTTTGATAATGGAGTTAGAGGAAGGAGTTTTCATTCTCATCCCTATTTAGAATTCTGTTTCTCCAATCAAAAGCTACCCAAGCATTCGCTGCAGCATGAAAGAGTGCCTTTGTAAGTTATTTAACTCAACTGCATTTTATATCTTTATAAATTACATAGCTTAAATTATATCAGTCCTTAATACTTGCAGTGTAAAAGGAAAAAGCCCTTTGGGGTCTGGTAGAGAGAGATTCTGACACAGAGCTGAGGCTGGTAGCTTGCATTCAACAGTTCAGACCCTCTTTGGATTATTGTTAGAAACGCCAATAAAAAAGTGGGACAAGTGGTAGGAAGGTGGCCTGTGTTCACATTTTCGAATCTTTAACTTGAACAGAATAATGACTGTGGGAAGCTTGTTCATTCTTGCAAAAAGAGGGGAGCTTTAGGATCTACTGTTTGAAGGACTTACTTCCAGAGATCTCCCATGTAATTTAATCAAACATTCAAATACAACATATGTCTTTTTATAATATGCTTTGTAGAGTAGTCATAGATCTAGCTTCTGTGTGATACATTAGAAAGGTTAAGTGCAGTGAAAATGATATTCTGAGAAAAAAGACCATGTTTGTCTTACTAACTATTGTACACCAGATTAATAAATATTTGTTAAATGTATGAATGAAAAATGGCAAAATAATATTAAAGAGATGGAATAGAGTTTTCGCTGGCTTTCAGGAGATTTTAGGGCAAAATTGCACTTTTAATTAGTAGGTGTGCAAACTTTTAAAAACCAGTTTCCAATTTTTTTTTACTGTTTTCCCAGTTATTTCTGCAATGATTAACAATAATTTGAAAGCATATGAATGAGGAATTGTCCACTTTTAAATTTATATTCTTTCTTTCTAATGTTTTTATATCTAGAAAAATGTATTTCAAGCTTGAATTGATGGATCAGTGACTATCCACACTATGCATTGCATTAAAAGTCCATATTTTTACACAAAATTGGTCATAAAAGATTTTTGTAACCTATGATCACCCCATAAGTGGAAAAGGAGAGTCAACCTCACTTAAATAACATTTTTCAAGTTACAGACAAATTTTGTTAAGTGTATTGAAGCTGCTGTTTTAATTCATAATCAAATTTATAGAAAAATATAAATATTTCATTTTATAATTCATACCACTTATTTGATTTTCTTTCTTCCCCCTAGATTCTGTATACTGGAATTGTTATTTATGCCCCTGCCCTGGCTTTGAGTCAAGGTAAATTTTAGAGTTACCAATGTGTCACTCACATTTGGGGGTTCATTTTTAATAGAGCTTACTCTTATTCTCTCTTTGGGGAGATAAGGAGGTGGAAGAATGCTTCCAGTAACCTGTATCAGCTTGAGGGGGGCGCGGTAGGCTCAGTGTCTACACTGGCAGCTTCTTTGGGTTTCTGGATCGATAGCTCCAAAACGTCTGTAGGTTAGTGAGTAGAAGGGTGGACTTCACTCACTGTTCATTGTTTCTCTGGGATGTGCCAACCAGCCATTCTCCATTCCTTCAGAACGGATGCCTCCTATAGTCTCAATCACAAATGACTGCACTTCCTCCCTTTGTGGCTGTAACCTGGAACCCATCTCCAAGAGGCTTCTGTGTTAATTCCGCCTTGGCTCAGTCTCATTGTAAAATTTGGCAGGGAGAGAAGCTTTTCTTTTCCCCATTTCTACTGTGACCAAAATACAAGAAAAAGAAATTTGTGAGGTTTGAAATATCAGATTGCTTCTAGTGACAAAAGTGACAGATGGCTATAGTATCCTTATAAACAAATGTGTGAAGGCCGTGCTGATCAACAAGTTACTCTCCTCGATTTGGGTAGATAATAGCAGTGAGACAGAGATTGTTTATTGAGGCAAAGTTGTGTGTTAGTCATACTCTCAAAAGGCTTCAGGGAAACACTACGTCCTTTGAATTCTTATCAGTCAGAAGTGACTTTATCTCTAACACTTCCTTGCAAAATGGACAAGTGGACTCTGTGATGGGAAGAATGTGGTGCAATTCCCTAAGTTAATAGAAAATGGAAAACCCAGGCTAACTCCACATTCTTGATTTCATGGTACGTAGATAATAGTTGTTGCCTACATTTATCAAGTGCAACAGTATCATTACAGAGTGTGCCCTTGAATTCTGAATGTCGGGCATGTTCCATATCAGTATTACCAGCATCATGAATGGATCACTTCATATGTAAAGATATGAGCTATACACTGCATAGGTTACCTGTTGGCTTTAAGTGTAATTAAAGATGTTGGCTTGAGGGTTCTAAAGTACAGTTTGGGGAATAAGAAAGCACTGCCTTCAATCTGTGAAGAAATCAAGGACTCTGTTTTCATCAGTATGTTGAGCCACTCCTTAGTAGTAAACTAGGATCTGAGAAATGGCATTTTGACTACTTGGACATCAATTGTCCATCTTACTGTACCAAGGCAGCAGGCACAGGCATAGACAGGGTACTTGGTGTACAACGGATGCTCAATAGAAACTCATTTGGCGGAATTGGAATTTAACATTCTTTAGGTACAAATTTTTAAAACTTTTGTTTAATTATGGAAAACTTAAAACATGCTAAAATAGAATAGTATATTGAACCTCAATGTACTGCTAACTCTACACTAATAATTATCAATTCTTGGCTTAATTCACTCCCTGTTTCCCTCACTAGATTATTTTTCTGTAAACCTGAGATATTTTATCATTTCATCTGAATTCAATATGTCTTTTAGAGTAAGCATGTGTTTTTTTTATTGAGGTATAATTAACATAAAACACTAGTTTCAGGGATACCATAATGTTCAATATTTGTATATATTGCAAAATGATCACCACAATAAGTCTAGTGAACATCCATCATCATACATAGTTACAATTTTTTTCTTGTGATGAGAGCTTTTAAGATTTACTCTCTTAGCAAATTTAAAAATATGCAATACAGTACTATTAACCATGCTGTACATTATATTCTCATAACTAATGTATTCTATAACTGCAAGTTTTTACCAGGATGTGCTTTTTTAAACACAACTTTACCTTCATCATTTCTAAAACTTTAGTTCCTTAATGTCATCAATATGAGGTCAGTGTTCAGATTTCCCTGATTTTTTTTCAGTGTCTGTCAGAATCAGGATCCAAATAAGTTTATGTAATTGTAATTAGTTCGTTTGTCTTGTTTCTCTTTCTTGCGTTTTAAAATAAAAAACACATTTTTATTGAGATATAACTTGTATATTATAAAATTCACTGTACCTAACTGTATAGTTGGATGAGTTTTGACAATTTTGTATACTTGTGTGACCACGACCCATCTCGATATAGAATATTTCCATCATCAAATCCCAGAAAAAGTTTTTTGTGCTTCTTTCTAATAAATCTCCAAGCAGTCAGTGTCTGATTTTATCACCATAAATTAGTTTTCCCTGTCCTTGGATTTTATATAAATGGAATTATATAGTGCCTTTTTGCATCTGGTTTCTTTTGCTCAAAAAAATGTTTTTGAAACATTCATTCATGTTGCTGCATGTATCAGTAGTCCATTTTTTTCTATTGCTAGAATTTTATCATATACATCTACCAAAATCTTTTATCCATTCTGTTGTTGATGGATGCTGTTTCCAGTTATAGGCTATTTTGCATTAAGGCTGCTAAGACTATTCTTGTACAGGTTTTGTTTTGCCTTGCTTTCCTTTTTGACACATTTTCATTTTTAGGGGATGAATACCTGGAGCCAGTGTAAATACCTTTTCTGACCTAGCACAGGGTAGTTGCACATACAAAATTTAAGAGGACTGCCAAATAGCTTTTCTGAGTGGTTATACCATTTTGCATGCCCATCCTATCCTACAGTGTATGAGAATTCTAGTTATTCCATATCCTTGTCAACATTTTATATTTTTCTTTTCAACTGTAGCCATTCTAGTTGTAGGATCTATTATCTTTTGTGGTTTTAATTTGCATTTTGCTAATGACTGTTGATGTTGAACTTACTGTTTCATGGAATAATAAAATGAATACAAAAAGACTAGTAACCTAGAAAAAAAAGACTTGAACTGACACTTTACAAAAGCAAATATTCTTCCAGTCCATTACATGGTATATTTATCCATTTACCTAGGCCTTTTACAATTACTCTCAGTAATGTTTTTCAGTTTTTGATGTTGAAGTCTTGTACATATTTCTTAGATTTATTTCTAGGTAGTTGATGTTTTTGGTGCTGTTGCAAATAGTATTGTTTTATAATATCATTTTCTAATTATTCATCATTTGCAAGTGTATAAAAATATAATTGGCTTTTATATGTTGAACATCTAGCCTGAGAACTTGCTCAATATATTCATTAATTCAAGTAAGCTTTTGGCAGATCCCTTAGGAGTTTCATGTTGTTTATGAATAGAGACAGTTTTACTACTTCTTTATCTATCTATATGATTTTATCTCTCTTTTTTGCCTTACTTTACTGTTAATGTGGGAAATTATATATAAACCAATTTTCATTCTTGGGATAAACCTCACTTGGTCATAACCTCTTTATATATTGCTGCATTTGATTGGCTAATATTTTGTCTAGGATTTTTACAGTTTATGAGGAATATTGGTTTGAAATTTACTTTTCCTTTGTCAGGATTTGTTTATCAGTTATACTGGCTTTATATGATTTGGGAAGTGTTCCTTCCTCTATTTTCTGAACAAGTTTATATAAAACTGTCTATTTCTTTCCTAAATGCTTCAAAGAATTCATAATGAAGGCATCTGGGCCTGATGTTTGTTTGTTTTTATAAAAAGGTTTTGGTTTATGGATTCAGTTTCTTTAATAGAATTATTAATATTTTCTAGTTCTTATTGAGTCAGTTTTGGTCAACTGTGTCTTTTAGGATTAATTCATTTTATCTAATTTGTCAAATTCATTGGCATAAAGTTGTTTAAAGTGTCCTCTTGTTATCTTTTTGACATTTGTGGTATCTATAGTGCCATCCCTTCTTATCATATCTAATATTGATATATTTTCTGTGTTTTTTTTTTCTTGATGTATCTTGCTAGTCCTTTTTTGACCAGTTTTTGGCTCTGTGGATTTTGTTTGCTTTCTGTTTCATTAATTTGTGCTATTATGTTTATTGTTTCCTTTTCTTCTTAATACTTTGGGCTTAAATTTTCTAGCTTCTTAAGGTAGAAACAGATCATTGATTTTAAATCTTTCCTATTTTATAATAGAAACACTTAAAGTTATAAGTTTTTCTGTAAGTACTGCTTCATCCGCATGCCACAGATTTTGGGACATTGTGTTTTTATTATCATTCAGTTAAAATATTTTCTAATTTTTCCCTTGTGATTTCTTTTACCCACGGGTTATTTAAAAGCATGTTACATAATTTTCAAATATTTAATGATTTTCAAACTTTTTTTTTTAACTAACTTCTAAATTGATACTGCTTTGGTCAGAGACCTATTATGATAATTCTTTGAAATATGTTAAGATTTGTTTTATGGCCCAGATATGGTCTATCTTGCTGAACATTCCATATACTTTTATAGTAAAGAATGTGTATTGTGTAGTTGTTGGGGATAATATTCTACAAATGTCAAAGGTTCAGTTGGTTAATTTTCCAGGCTCTTGGTTTTACTGATTGCATCACCATGGGGTCATTTAATGTTCTCCAGTCCTCTGTATTTCTTGTGAACTAGATCTAGAAGCTTTCTCAGACTTCATTTCAACTTTTTGGAGAGACTATTTCATACAGTTTTCAGCTCTTCTGAGTAAATACCAAGGAGCACAATGGTTGGATTATATGATAAGAGTATGTAAAAAACCATCAAACTATCTTCCAAAATGGCTGTTACCATTTTGCATTCTCAATCCTTGCCAGCATTTGGTGTTGTCAGTGTTCCAGATTTTGGCCATTCTAATAAGTGTCTAGTGGTATCTCACTGTTGTTTTAATTTGCATTTCCTGCTGACATATGATGTGGAGCATTTTTTCATGTGCTTATTTGCCATCTATATATCTTCTTTTATAAGGAGTCTGTTAAGATCATTGGCGCATTTTAAAATCAGATTGTTTGTTTTCTTATTGTTGAGTTTTGAGTTGTGTGTGTGTGTGTGTATGTGTGTAATTTGGATAGCAGTCCTTTATCAGATGTGTCCTTTGCAAACTTTTCTTTCAGTCTATGGCTTGTCTTCTAATTCCTTGCTATTGTCTTTCACAGAGCATATGTTTTTAATTTTAATGGTGCTCAGCTAATCAATTATTTCTTTCATAGATTGTGTCTTTGATGATTTATCTAAAACAGCATCATTATACCTAAGAAGTCTTGGTTTTCTCCTATGTTATCCTCTAAAGTTGAATAGTTTTGTGTTTTAGATTTAGGCCTATGAGCTATCATGATTTAATTTTGGTGAAGGGTGTAAGGTCTGTGTCTAGATTCATTTTTTTTTTGCATGTGGATGTCCAGTTGTTCCAGCACCATTTGTTGAAGAGACTGTCTCTGTCCATTGTATTGCTTCTACTCCTTTGCCAAAGATGAGTTGACCATATTTATGGAAGTCTATTTCTAGTTTCTCTATTCTGTCCCATTGATCTATATTCTATTTGTCTGGTTTTTTGTTTTGTTTTGTTTTGTTTTACCAATACCATACTCTCCTGATTACTGTAGCTTTATAGAAAGTCTTGAAGTTAGATACAGTCAGTCCTTCAGCTTTGTTCTTCTCCTTAAATATTTTGCTGACAAACAATAAATTGCTAGAGAAAGGGTGTGGAGAAAAGAGAACCCTCCTACACTGTTGGCAGGAATGTAGATTGGTGCAGCCATTATGGAAAACAGTACGGACATTCCTCAAAAGACTAAAAATAGACTTACCATGTGATCCAGCAATCCCACTCCTGGGCATATATCCAGAGGGAACTTTAATTCAAACAGATACATGCACCCCAGTGTTCACAGCAGCACTATTTACAATAGCCAAGACATGGAAACAACCTAAATGTCCATTGACAGATGACTGGATAAAGAAGCTGTAGTATATTTATACAGTGGACTACTACTCAGCTGTAAAAAAGAATAAAATAATGCCATTTGCAGCAACATGGATGGACCTGTAAATCGTCATTCTAAGTAAGCCAGAAAGAGAAAGAAAAATACCATATGATATCACTTATATGTGGAATATAAAAAAAAAGACAAATGAACTTATTTACAAAACAGAAACAGACTCACAGATTTAGAAAACAAACTTATGGTTATCAGGGAAGGAAGGTAGTGGGAAGGAATAAATTGGGAGTTCAAGATTTACAGATACTAAATAATATATATAAAATAGATGAACAACAAGTTCATACTGTACAGCATAGGGAATTATATTCAATATCTTGTAGTATCATATGGTGAAAAAGAATATGAAAACAAATATATGTATGTTCATGTATGACTGAAGTATTGTGCTGTACACCAGAAATTGATACAACATTATAAACTGACTATACTTCATTAAAAAAATTAAAATTAAAAGAAATAAAATAGGTAAACAACAAATTTATGCTATGTAGCACAGTAAACTATATTCAATATCTTGTAGTAACCTATAATGAAAAAGAATATGAAAATGAATACATGTATGTGTATGTATGACTGAAACGTTATGTTGTACACCAGAAATTGACACAATATTGTAAACTGACTATACTTCAATGAAAAAAATACTGTATAGAGTATTCAGTCTTTTGCCTCTCCATATAAACTTGACAGTTTGTCAGTTCTACACAGTTTGTCATTATCCACAAAATAACTTGCTGTAATTTTGTTTGGGATTGCCTTGAATCTATAGGTTAAATTGGGAAGAACTGACATCTTGACAGTATTGAGTCTTCCTATTCATAAACATGGAATATCTCTCCATTTATTCAGTTCTTTCATTACATTCATCAGAGTTTGATAGTTTTCCTCATGTAGATCTTGTATACATTTTGTTAGATTTATAGCTAAGTATTTAATTTTGGGGGGTGCTAATGTAAATGTTAATGTGTTTTTAATTTCTAATTCCAGTTGTTCATTGTTGGTATAAGGAAAGCAACTGACTTTTGTATATTAACCTCTATCCTGCAACCTTGCTATAATCATTTATTAGAACCAGGAGATTTTTTTTGTCAATTATTTTAGATTCTCTATAAAGTTGATCATGTTATCTGTAAACAAAAAGAGTTTTATTTCTTCCTTCCTTGGTTTATACCTTATCTTAGTGGAAAGGTTTCAAGTGTCTCACTATTAAGTATGATGTTAGCTGTAAGTTTTTGGTAGATTATCTTAATCAGGTTGAGAGTGTTCCCCTCTATTTCGAGTATACTGAAAATTTTTTTCGTGAATGGGTGTTGGATTTTGTCAAGTACTGTTTCTTCCTCTATTAATATGATAATGTGATTTTTCTTTTTTT